CCCCTCCCCCGCAAGCGCTGCGCGCCCGGGGCCGACGCTCCCCGCAAGCGCCACGCCATGTGCCCGGGGCCAGGATATATATGATACAAAAACCTTTGGTCCAATATCTGGTGATATTTGTGTAACTGGATGATCAACATAAATTATTCTCATGTTGAGAAATATTACTATGTTTCCATGTGTACCTCTATCACCGCCTTCTTATAATAAACTAGCAAGTGAGGCCTGTATTGACCGGGCAAAGTCATTTTGAGTCAGTTACACTTATTGCAAAGTTCAAGAGGTTAAATATGTGGCATAGAACTTTTTGATATTAATGTGCTTGCAAAAAGGAAATACAAGAACAGTTTTCAATGTGTAGGGTTTCAACTTCAAATATTATTCATTTTATTAGATAATAACCATGCACAGGACATTTGAATCAGGAGAATTTCATCCAGGATGATGCAATGGCCTTCAGGTGTCATCTTAAAATATTTCCCTGCCATACAGGCTCAGGCGTTTGTGTCCGAGGAAAACAGGAGATAGTCACTTGTACGCCTCTGGGGTTATCTGGAGCCTAGAGAGTCCGTTTGTTTGGCTTTGCAATTCCCTTCCCCCTCGTGTGTGCTTGCTGCATCCCAAGCAGTCACAGTCCCTTCTCACTATTGTGTTTCATAATGTGAAGGAGTCTTAGAGTTCAAGGCAAAAAGAGACGTCAAAACCCCCTCCTCCAATCTCCTCTTTTTCTATGTTGTTTCGGGTTTCATCCACTGAGCCCTCTAATCATGCATCCAAGTGAAGACAAAAGAGAAAGGGCTTGGTTGTCCCTCTATCTGGTGCAATGTGGGAAGCCATTACATTAATGGTCGTTCTTTGTAAGCGGAGGGGAGCAGGGGAGCTCAGAATGTAAATTTTTAAAAAGAGTTTTGAAAAACAAGAGTGGGGGAAAAGCCGCTTCTTTTGTAGCTAGTGAGAGAGAGACGGAAAAGTCACTTGGTGTCCTCACCCGCTTGGTCTCATTGGTGTCCTGGATGCTGGATGCTACAACATCCGAGCATCCCGGAACACCATAAGCAGGTACCAAGGTGGAAGATCTTACAGCAGGAACATGTGCAGTTTCGCAAAGGCTTAGTGTAAAGAGTTAAATAATGGCCATCGGTCACCACAGAGCCCAAAGTTCTGTGTATTATGTATTTTTTGGGCACAATCCCAACATGTTGCAAACCTCAGCTAGGTGGCTCTAAGGTGGAGCTTCACGTCAGGTTGAGATGTTCAGAGTTTGGGATCCCAGCACATTTGTGATAAGGAGGCCACGTGATCGAGGGATAGGCTAATCAGCTAAAGGCCAGGTCCACACCACAGCTGAAGGTCGGCCGAAGGTCTGCACTTATAGCAATGTAAAAACCGAAGCTGGAGTTGACGTCTCTTAAACTGAGCTTCAGAACCCTCCTCGCAACAGGGAAAACGTTCCGTTCACTCAGCATTTGATGGGGCTGATGACACTGAACGGGGCGATGTTACAATCTCCTAGGATATGACTGGCCGGGGGAATCTTGTTTTGCTGCAGTTCCAGGCAGAGCTGATCTTTGTGTGGGGAACAGGGCAAGACACGTCCTCCAGGGATTAGGTCCCAGAAGCCAGGGAAGGAAATAAAACCCCCTGTTCCCTCAGCACATTTAGTGCCTGCAGCAAGGAGGTGGATCCGCTCTGCTCAAATAAGGTAGGCTGAGAATGAATGAACGAAACGCCAGCCAGTCGCTCAAGGATGTCGGTCAGTTTCGTACCCCTGTCTGCAAAACCACGTCACTTATTGTGTGTCTGAGCACATGGGTTGTGAGTGTGTTCAGATCTATCTATCTATCTATCTATCTATCTATCTATCTATCTATCTATCTATCTATCTATCTATCTCTGCCAGTCCACTTAGCAGTACATCAAATGATCTATGGGTCTCTGAATCTATTCATCTAATAACTTAAAAAACAAAAAAATAGTCTGGTAGCACTTTATAGACTAACAAAGCATGTAGATGGTATCATGAGCCTTCATGGGCACAACCCACTTCTTCAGATGGCTGGAGTTTTTCCTGTTACAGACTAACTCGGCTACCCCCTGAAGCTTTTCAATATTCATCTATCTATCTATCTATCCCCACACACACCCTCTATCTATCTATCTATCTATCTATCTATCAGCACATGAGTTGTGAGGGTGTTCAAATCTATCTATCTATCTATCCCCACACACGCTATCTATCTATCTATCTATCTATCTATCTATCTATCTATCTATCTATCTATCTATCTATCTATCTATCTATCTATCTATCTATCTATCTCTGCCAGTCCACTTATTAATACATCAGTTCATCGATAGGTCTCTGAATTTATGCACCTAACTTAACTATCATGGGTCATATCAAAGTCTTGACATTTTGGGTGTGATGCTAATTTACACCAGGTGATGTTCTGGTCCCAGAATTCCATGCAGCCCACCAGACTGACAGATGAGACTCAAACATGATCAGCACCAAGTCATAATTCTTTGTTTTGTGTTTGTGGTGTGTCCAGAGGACTTTCGGATCTCTGCAAATTTTATTCTAATATGAATGACAAGAATTTACCCAGACCTTGTTCCTTATCATAGAACCACAGGACACTAGACCCGGAAGTGACATCGAGGAGTCATCGAATCCAGTCCCCTGTCCTCATGGCAGGACAAATCACCAACTAGACCATCCCTGTCTAACCTGCTCTTAAATATCTCCAGGAATGCAGATTCCACAACCTCCCTAGACACTTTAATCCAGCACTTAACCACCCTGACAGTTAGGTAGTTTTTGCGAATGTCCAGCCTAAACCTCCCTTGCTGCAGTTTAAGCCCATTGCTTCTTG